ACGGCAGCGTACAAGCAATTCGGTGTGTGTGCTGCTGACCGTGAAAGGCTACGCATTGCTGTCAACAGGCCAGGCCACCACAAGCCGAGCTTCTTGGGCGTAAACGCCCTCCCCTTTGGAGGGGTGGGGTCGGTCGCTGCTTTCCTAAGGATAAGTATCGCCTTGTGGAAGATCGGATAGTCCTTTTCAGGCTATTCTGGTCTGCCTTTTTCGATGACTACAGCATAGTTTCTGCGAAGAGCCTGGAATCGAATGCCCAGTGGACTGTGGAAACTTTGTTTGACCTGCTTGGTTTCCGCTTCGCCAAGGACGGCTCCAAAGCCGAACCCTTCGGAGTTACCTTCAACATGCTCGGCCTCTCTGTTGATCTGTCTTGTGTGAAGCAGCGGATCCTTCGTGTGGGTCATACTCAGAAGCGAAAGGAGGAGCTCACCGAGTACATCCAAACCATCCTTCAGGAAGGAAAGATCGACTCGAAGGCGGCCGAACGCCTTAGGGGTCGTATGGTTTTCTTCGAGGGTTTCACCTTTGGAAGGGTTTCTAACCGGGCTCAGCGAGTTGTTGCAAAGTGCGTGGAAAAGTTTGCCCCTCAGAATCTTACTGAAGATTTGATGTGGGCGTTGACGTGGCTTCGTGAAAGAATAGCCCTGAGCCAGCCTTTAGTTGTCGAGCGAAACCTCATCACAACACTGATCGTTTTCACTGACGGGGCTTGCAATCCAGAGGAAGGCACGGGAGGTGTCGGAGGCGTCCTTGTGAATGCCTCTGGTACTCCGTGCGAGTTCTTCGGTGAGGCAGTTCCAAGTGATATGATGCAGCAGCTTTTGAGCATCAGCGCAAATCCCATTTTCGAGCTTGAGTTGATTCCAGCACTGATCAGCCTTGTCATTTGGGCAGAGCGCTTGAAAGGAGCTCAAGTGGTGTTTTATCTTGACAATGATGGTGCTCGCCATTCTCTGATCCGAACCTTTGGCGGTGGCTCACTCGCCAATGCTGTGATTGAATCTTTCCTTCAGCTTGAAACCACTTTGCAGCTGAAGACGTGGTTCGCTCGCGTACCGACTGCTTGCAACATAGCAGACAATCCCTCACGGCTGGAATTTGAGCCTCTTTTAAAAAGAGGTGCTGCAAGGCGTGCTATTCCGTGGGACCAGGTCATGCCGTAGATGATCGGGGTGAAGGAAGACGGCACGGAGTGTAGCATCCCACGTGGAAAAATAGAGTTGCGCGAGCAAGGGACCTTCGCACATTTATATGGATATATATTCCATAGAAAACATATTGGATTCCGGTGTGCAAATAAGGAATAAGAGTTTACTCCTTTAAACTTCCCGAAGCAGAAAGGATGAACTCCTTATTCAGTTTTGCACAAATTTCATGTTTGTTTTAAACTGAAATTAGGAATCACGTTTGCAAGTTTTCCGGGCAGTGAGATGAAGTGTGGCTCCGGCGACTTTCCTCTCAAGTGTGGGCACGGGGAAAACTTGTCCCGCCCTCCCGACCCAGAATTTTTGAGCCTACCCCTTAGCCGTCTGAAGGAAGACGGCACGGAGTGTAGCATCCCACGTGGAAAAATAGAGTTGCGCGAGCAAGGGACCTTCGCACATTTATATGGATATATATTCCATAGAAAACATATTGGATTCCGGTGTGCAAATAAGGAATAAGAAGCAAAGGCAAAGTAGTCCGGAGAGAAAAGCTGCAGAGGATCCCAAGAAGAAGAAGAAGAAGAAGTAAAGGCAAAGTAGCCCGGAGAGAAAGACTATAGAGGATCCCAAGAAGAAGAAGCAAAGGCAAAGTATTGGTAGCCCGGAGAGAAAGGCTGCAGAGGATCCCAAGAAGAATAAGAAGCAAAGGCAAAGGAGTCCGGAGAGAAAAGCTGCAAAGGATCCCAAGAAGAAGAAGCAAAGGCAAAGTAGCCCGGAAAGAAAGGAGAGAAAGGCTGCAGCGGATCCCAAGAAGAAGAAGTAAAGACAAAGTAGCCCGGAGAGAAAGGCTGCAGAGGATCCCAAGAAGAAGAAGAAGCAAAGGCAAAGTAGCCCGGAGAGAAAGGCTGCAGAGGATCCTCAAAAAGAAAAAGCAAAGGCAAAGTAGCCCGGAGAGAAAGGCTGCAGAGGATCCCAGTAAGAAGAAGAAGAAATAAAGGAAAAGTAGCCCGGAGAGAAAGGCTGCAGAGGATCACAAGAAGAAGAAGCCAAGGCAAAGTAGCCCGGAGAGAAAGGCTGCAGAGGATCCTAAAAAGAAGAAGAGGAAGCAAAGGCAAACTAGTCCGGAGAGAAAGGCTGCAGAGGATCCCAAGAAGAAGAAGAAGAAGCAAAGGCAAAGCAGCCCGAGAGAAAGGCTGCAGAGGATCCCAAGAAGAAAAAGCAAAGGCAAAGTAGCCCTACAGAGGATCCCAAGAAGAAGAAGAAGCAAAGGCAAAACAGCCCGGAGAGTAAGGCTATAGAGGATCCCAAGAAGTAGAAGAAGAAGAAGCAAAGGCAATCTAGCCCGGAGAGAAAGGCTGCAGAGGATCCCAAGAAGAAGAAGAAGAGGCAAAGGCAAAGTAGTCCGGAGAGAAAGGCTGCAGAGGATCCCAAGAAGAAGAAGAAGCAAAGGCAAAGCAGCTCGGAGAGAAAGGTTGCAGAGGATTCCAAGAAGAAGAAGAAGAAGCAAAGGCAAAAGAGCCCGGAGAGAAAGGCTGCAGAGGATCCCAAGAAGAAGAAGAAGAAGGAAAATAAGAAGAAGAATCAAAGGCAAAGTAGCACGGAGAGAAAGGCTGCAGAGGATCCCAAGAAGAAGAAGAAGCAAAGGCAAAGTAGCCCGGAGAGAAAGGCTGCAGAGGATCCCAAGAAGAAGAAGAAGCAAAGGCAAAGTAGAAAGGTTGCAGAGGATCCCAAGACGAAGAAGAAGCAAAGACAAAGTAGCCCGGAAAGAACGGCTGCAGAGGATACCAAGAAGAAGAAGAAGAAGCAAAGGCAAACTAGCCCGGAGAGAAAGGCTGCAGAGGATCCCAAGAAGAAGAAGAAGCAAAGGCAAAAAAGAAAGGTTGCAGAGGATCCCAAGAAGAAGAAGAAGCAAAGGCAAAGTAGCCCGGAGAGAAAGGCTGCAGAAGATCCCAAGAAGAAGAAGCAAAGGCAAAGTAGGGAGGAGAGAAAGGCTGCAGAGGATCCCAAGAAAAAGAAGCAAAGGCAAAATAGCCCGGAGAGAAAGGCTGCAGAAGATCGCAAGAAGAAGAAGAAGCAAAGGCAAAGTAGCCCGGAGAGAAAGGCTGCAGAGGATCCCAAGAAAAGAAGAAGCAAAGGCAAAGTAGCCCGGAGAGAAAGGCTGCAGAAGATCCCAAGAAGAAGAAGAAGCAAAGGCAAAGTAGCCCAGAGAGAAAGGCTGCAGAGGATCACAAAAAGAAGAAGCAAAGACAAAGTAGCCCGGAAAGAACGGCTGCAGAGGATCCCAAGAAGAAGAAGCAAAGGCAACGTAGCGAGGAGAGAAAGGCTGCAGAGGATCCCAAGACGAAGAAGAAGTAAAGGCAAAGTAGCCCGGAGAGAAAGACTACAGAGGATCCCAAGAAGAAGAAGAAGCAAAGGCAAAGTAGCCCGGAGAGAAAGGCTGTAGAGGATCCCAAGAAGAAGAAGAAGCAAAGGCTATAAAGCCCGGAGAGAAAGGTTGCAGAGGATCCCAAGAAGAAGAAGAAGAAGCAAAGGCAAAGTGGCCCGGAGAGAAAGGCTGCAGAGTGCAGAGGATCCCAAGAAGAAGAAGAAGCAAAGACAAAGTAGTGCGGAGAGAAAGGCTACAGAGGATCCCAAGAAGAAGAAGAAGAAGCAAAGCCAAAAAAGTCCGGAGAGAAAGGCTGCAGAGGATCCCAAGAAGAAGAAGAAGAAGCAAAGGCAAAGCAGCCCGAGAGAAAGGCTGCAGAGGATCCCAAGAAGAAGAAGCAAAGGCAAAGTAGCCCGGAGAGAAAGGCTGCAGAGGATCCCAAGAAGAAGAAGCAAAGGTAAAGTAGCCCGGAGAGAAAAGCTGCAGAGGATCCCAAGAAGAAGAAGAAGAAGCAAAGGCAACGTAGCCCGGAGAGAAAGGCTGCAGAGGATCCCAAAAAGAAGAACAAGCAAAGGTAAAGTAGCCCGGAGAGAAAGGCTATAAAGGACCCAAGAAGAAGAAGCAAAGGCAAAAAGTCCGGAGAGAAAGAATGCAGAGGATCCCAAGAAGAAGAAGCAAAGGCAAAGAAGTCCGGAGAGAAAGACTGCAGAGGATCCCAAGAAGAAGAAGCAAAGGCAAAGTAGCCCGGAGAGAAAGGCTGCAGAGGATCCCAAGAAGAACAAAAGGCAAAGAGCCCGGAGAGAAAGGCTGCAGAGGATCCCAAGAAGAACAAGAAAAGGCAAAGTAGCCCGGAGAGAAAGGCTGCAGAAGATCCCAAGAAGAAGAAGCAAAGGCAAAGTAGCGAGGAGAGAAAGGCTGCAGAGGATCCCAAGAAGAAGAAGCAAAGGCAAAGTAGACCGGAGAGAAAGACTACAGAGGATCCCAAGAAGAAGAAGAAGCAAAGGCATAATATTGGTAGCCCGGAGAGAAAGGTTGTAGAGGATCACAAGAAGAACAAGAAGCAAAGGCAAACTAGCCCGGAGAGAAAGGCTGCAGAGGATTCCAAGAAGAAGAAGAAGCAAAGGCAAAGTAGCCCGGAGAGAAAGGAGAGAAAGGCTGCAGAGGATCCCAAGAAGAAGAAGTAAAGGCAAAGTAGCCCGGAGAGAAAGGCTGCAGAGGATCCCAAGAAGAAGAAGAATCAAAGGCAAAGTATTGGTAGCCCGGCGAGAAAGGCTGCATTGGATCCCAAGAAGAAGAAGAAGCAAAGGCAGAGTAGCCCGGAGAGAAAGGCTGTAGAGGATCCCAGTAAGAAGAAGAAGAAGAAGAAGATAAAGGCAAAGTAGCCCGGAGAGAAAGGCTGCAGAGGATCCCAAGAAGAAGAAGAAGCAAAGGCAAAGTAGTGCGGAGAGAAAGGCTGCAGAGGATCCCAAGAAGAAGAAGAAGCAAAGGCAAAGCCGCCCGAGAGAAAGGCTGCAGAGGATCCCAAGAAGAAGAAGCAAAGGCAAAGTAGCCCTGCAGAGGATCCTAAGAAGAAGAAGAAGAAGCAAAGGCAAAACAGCCCGGAGAAAAAGGCTATAGAGGATCCCAAGAAGAAGAAGCAAAGGCAACCTAGCCTGGAGAGAAAAGCTGCAGAGGATCCCAAGCAGAAGAAGAAGAGGCAAAGGCAAAGTAGTCCGGAGAGAAAGACTGCAGAGGATCCCAAGAAGAAGAAGAAGCAAAGGCAAAGCAGCTCGGAGAGAAAGGTTGCAGAGGATTCCAAGAAGAAGAAGACGACGAAGCAAAGGCAAAAGAGTCCGAAGAGAGAAAGGCTGCAGAGGACCCCAAGAAGAAGAAGCAAAGGTAAAGTAGCACGGAGAGAAAGGCTGCAGAGGATCCCAAGAAGAAGAAGAAGCAAAGGCAAAGTAGCCCGGAGAGAAAGGCTGCAGAGGATCCCAAGAAGAAGAAGAAGCAAAGGCAAACTAGAAAGGTTGCAGAAGATCCCAAGAAGAAGAAGCAAAGACAAAGTAGCCCGGAAAGAACGGCTGCAGAGGATCCCAAGAAGAAGAAAAAGCAAAGGCAAAGTAGCCCGGAGAGAAAGGCTGCAGAGGATCCCAAGAAGAAGAAGAAGCAAAGGCAAAATAGAAAGGTTGCAGAGGACCCCAAGAAGAAGAAGAAGCAAAGGCAAAGTAGCCCGGAGAGAAAGGCTGCAGAAGATCCCAAGAAGAAGAAGAAGCAAAGGCAAAGTAGCGAGGAGAGAAAGGCTGCAGAGGATCCCAAGAAAGAAGAAGCAAAGGCAAAGTAGCCCGGAGAGAAAGGCTGCAGAAGATCGCAAGAAGAAGAAGAAGCAAAGGCAAAGTAGCCCGGAGAGAAAGGCTGCAGAGGATCCCAAGAAGAAGAAGCAAAGGCAAAGTAGCCCGGAGAGAAAGGCTGCAGAGGATCCCAAGAAGAAGAAGAAGCAAAGGCAAAAAGCCCGGAGAGAAAGGCTGCAGAGGATCCCAAGAAGAAGAAGAAGTAAAGGCAAAGTAGTCTGGAGAGAAAGGCTGCAGAGGATCCCAAGAAGAAGAAGAAGCAGCAAAGGCAAAGTAGCCGGAGAGAAAGGCTGCAGAGGATCCCAAGAAGAAGAAAAGCAAAGACAAAATAGCCCGGAGAGAAAGGCTGCAGAAGATCCCAAGAAGAAGAAGCAAAGGCAAAGTAGCCCGGAGAGAAAGGCTGCAGAGGATCCCAAGAAGAAGCAGAAGCAAAGGCAAAGTAGCCCGGAGAGAAAAGCTGCAGAGGATCCCAAGAAGAAGAAGAAGCAAAGGCAAAGTAGCCCGGAGAGAAAGGCTGCAGAGGATCCCAAGAAGAAGAAGAAGCAAAGGCAACGTAGCCCGGAGAGAAAGGTTGCAGAGGATCCCAAGAAGAAGAAGCAAAGGCAAAGTAGCCCGGAGAGAAAGGCTGCAGAGGATCCCAAGAAGAAGCAGCAAAGGCAAAGTAGCCCGGAGAGAAAGGCTGCAGAGGAGCCCAAGAAGAAGAAGAAGTAAAGGCAAAATAGCGCGGAGAGAAACGCTGCAGAGGATCCCAAGAAGAAGAAGAAGCAAAGGCAAAAGAGCTCGGAGAGAAAGGCTGCAGAAGATCCCAAGAAGAAGAAGAAGCAAAGCCAAAGTAGCCCAGAGAGAATGGCTGCAGAGGATCCCAAGACGAAGAAGAAGTAAAGGCAAAGTAGCCCGGAGAGAAAGGCTGCAGAGGATCCTAAGAAGAAGAAGAAGAAGCAAAGGCAAAGTAGCCCGGAGAGAAAGGCGGCAGAGGATCCCAAGAAGAAGAAGAAGAAGCAAAGGCAAAGCCCGAGAGAAAGGCTGCAGAGGATCCCAAGAAGAAGAAGCAAAGGCAAAGTAGCCCGGAGAGAAAGGCTGCAGAGGATCCCAAGAAGAAGAAGGAAGCAAAGGCAAAATAGTCCGGAGAGAAAGGTGCAGAGGATCCCAAGAAGAAGAAGAAGCAAAGGCAAAGCAGCCCGGAGAGAAAGGCTACAGAGGATCCCAAGAAGAAGAAGAAGAAGCAAAGGCAAAGTAGCCCGGAGGGAAAGGCTGCAGAGGATCCCAAGAAGAAGAAGAAGAAGCAAAGGCAAAAGAGCCCGCAGAGAAAGGCTGCAGAGGATCCCAAGAAGAAGAAGAAGCAAAGGCAAAGTAGCCAGGAGAGAAAGACTGCAGAGGATCCCAAGAAGAAGAAGAAGAAGCAAAGGCAAAGCAGGAGAGAAAGGCTGCAGAGGATCCCAAGACGAAGAAGAAGTAAAGGCAAAGTAGCCCGGAGAGAAAGGCTGCAGAAGATCCCAAGAAAAAGAAGAAGAAGCAAAGGCAAACTAGCCCGGAGAGAAAGGCTGCAGAGGATCCCAAGAAGAAGAAGAAGCAAAGGCAAAGTAGCCCGGAGAGAAAGGCTGCAGAGGAACCCAAGAAGAAGAAGAAGAAGCAAAGGCAAAATAGCCCGGAGAGAAAGGCTGCAGAGGATCCCAAGAAGAAGAAGCAAGGGCAAAGTAGCCCGGAGAGAAAGGTTGCAGAGGATCCCAAGAAGAAGAAGAAGCAAAGGCAAAGTAGCCCGGAGAGAAAGGCTGCAGAGGATCCCAAGAAGAAGAAGCAAAGGCAAAGTAGCCCGGAGAGAAAGGCTATAGAGGGTCCAAGAAGAAGGAGCAAAGGCAAAGTATTGGTAGCCCGGAGAGAAAGGCTGCATTGGATCCCAAGAAGAAGAAGCAAAGGCAAAGTAGCCCGGAGAGATAGGCTATAGAGGATCCCAAGAAGAAGAAGCAAAGGCAAAGTAGCCCGCAGAGAAAGGCTGCAGAGGATCCCAAGAAGAAGAAGAAAACGAAGAAGAAGAAGAAGCAAAGGCAAAAAAGCCCGGAGGGAAAGGCTGCACAGGATCCCAAGAAGAAGAAGCCAAGGCAAAGTAGCCCGGAGAGAAAGGCTGCAGAGGATTTCAAGAAGAAGAAGCAAAGTAGCCCGGAGAGAAAGGCTGCAGAGGATCCCAAGAAGAAGAAGAAGCAAAGGAAAAGTGGCCCGGAGAGAAAGCTTGCAGAGGATCCCAAGAAGAAGAAGAAGCAAAGGCAAAGTATTGGTAGCCCGGAGAGAAAGGCTGCAGAGGATCCCAAGAAGAAGAAGCAAAGGCAAAGTAGCCCGGAGAGAAAGGCTGCAGAGGATCCCAAGAAGAAGAAGAAACAAAGGTAAAATAGCTCGGAGAGAAAGGCTGCAGAGGGTCCCAAGAAGAAGAAGAAGCAAAGGCAAAGTGGCCCGGAGAGAAAGGCTGCAGAGGATCCCAAGAAGAAGAAGAAGCAAAGGCAAAGTAGCCCGGAGAGAAAGGCTGCAGAGGATCCCAAGAAGAAGAAGAAGAAGCAAAGGCAAAGTAGCCCGGAGAGAAAGGTTGCAGAGGATCCCAAGAAGAAGATGCAAAGGCAAAGTAGCCCGGAGAGAAAGGCTGCAGAGGATCCCAGTAAGAAGAAGAAGAAATAAAGGAAAAGTAGCCCGGGTATACAGGCTGCAGAGGATCCCAAGAAGAAGAAGAAGCAAAGGCAAAGTAGCCCGGAGAGAAAGGCTGCAGAGGATCCCAACAAGAAGAAGTAAAGGCAAAGTAGCCCGGAGAGAAAGGCTGCAGAGGATCCCAAGAAGAAGAAGAAGCAAAGGCAAAGTAGCCCGGAGAGAAAGGCTGCAGAGGATCCCAAGAAGAAGAAGTATAGGCAAAGTAGCCCGGAGAGAAAGGCTGCAGAAGATCCCAAGAAGAAGAAGAAGCAAAGGCAAAGTAGCAAGGAGAGAAAGACTGCAGAGGATCCCAAGAAGAAGAAGGAAGCAAAGGCGAAAAAGTCCGGAGAGAAAGGTTGCAGAGGATCCCAAGAAGAAGAAGCAAAGGCAAAGCAGCCCGGAGAGAAAGGCTGCAGAGGATCCCAAGAGGAAGAAGAAGCAAAGATACAATAGCCCGGAGAGAAAGACTGCAGAGGATCCCAAGAAGAAGAAGGAAGCAAAGGCGAAAAAGTCCGGAGAGAAAGGCTATAGAGGATCCCAAGAAGATCAAGAAGCAAAGGCAAAGTAGTCCGGAGAGAAAGGCTGCAGATGGTCCCAAGAAGAAGAAGCAAAGGCAAAGTAGCCCTGAGGGAAAGGCTGCAGAGGATCCCAAGAAGAAGAAATAAACGCAAAGTAGCCCGGAGAGAAAGGCTGCAGAGGATTTCAAGAAGAAGAAGCAAAGGCAAAGTAGCCCGGAGAGAAAGGCTGCAGAGGATCCCAAGAAGAAGAAGAAGCAAAGACAAAATAGCCCGGAGAGAAAGGCTGCAGAGGATCCCAAGAAGAAGAAGAAGCAAAGGCAAAGTGGCCCGGAGAGAAAGGCTGCAGAGGATCCCAAGAAGAAGAAGCAAAGACAAAGTAGCCCGGAGAGAAAGGCTGCAGAGGATGCCAAGAAGAAGAAGAAATAAAGGCAAAATAGCCCGGAGAGAAAGGCTGCAAGAGGATCCCAAGAAGAAGAAGAAGCAAAGGTAAAGTGGCCCGGAGAGAAAGGCTGCAGAGGATCCCAAGAAGAAGAAGAAGCAAAGGCAAAGTAGCCCGGAGAGAAAGGCTGCAGAGGATCCCAAGAAGAAGAAGCAAAGGCAAAACAGCTCGGAGAGAAAGGTTGCAGAGGATCCCAAGAAGAAGATGCAAAGGCAAAATAGTCCGGAGAGAGAGGCTGCAGAGGATCCCAAGAAGAAGAAGAAGCAAAGACAAAGTAGCCCGGAGAGAAAGGCTGCAGAGGATCCCAAGAAGAAGAAGTAAAGGCAAAGTAGCCCGGAGAGAAAGGCTGCAGAGTATCACAAGAAGAAGAAGAAGCAAAGATACAATAGCCCGGAGAGAAAGGCTGCAGAGGATCCCAAGAAGAAGAAGAAGAAGCAAAGGCAACGTAGCCCGGAGAGAAAGGCTGCAGAGGATCCCAAAAAGAAGAAGAAGCAAAGGTAAAGTAGCCCGGAGAGAAAGGCTATAAAGGACCCCAAGAAGAAGAAGCAGAGGCAAAAAAGTCCGGAGAGAAAGGCTGCAGAGGATCCCAAGAAGAAGAAGCAAAGGTAAAGGAGTCCGGAGAGAAAGGTTGCAGAGGATCCCAAGAAGAAGAAGCAAAGGCAAAGTAGCCAGGAGAGAACGGCTGTAGAGGATCACAAGAAGAAGAAGAAAAGGCAAAGTAGCCCGGAGAGAAAGGCTGCAGAGGATCCCAAGAAGAACAAGCAAAGGCAAAACAGCCCGGAGAGAAAGGCTGCAGAGGATCCCAAGAAGAATAAGAAGCAAAGGCAAAGTAGTCCGGAGAGAAAAGCTGCAGAAGATCGCAAGAAGAAGAAGAAGCAAAGGCAAAGTAGCCCGGAGAGAACGGCTGTAGAGGATCCCAAGAAGAAGAAGAAAAGGCAAAGTAGCCCGGAGAGAAAGGCTGCAGAGGATCCCAAGAAGAACAAGCAAAGGCAAAAAGCCCGGAGAGAAAGGCTGCAGAGGATCCCAAGAAGAATAAGAAGCAAAGGCAAAGTAGTCCGGAGAGAAAAGCTGCAGAGGATCCCAAGAAGAAGAAGAAGAAGAAAAGGCAAAGTAGCCCGGAGAGAAAGACTGCAGAGGATCCCAAGAAGAAGAAGAAGCAAAGGCAAAAAATTGGTAGCCCGGAGAGAAAGGCTGCAGAGGATCCCAAGAAGAATAAGAAGCAAAGGCAAAGGAGTCCGGAGAGAAAAGCTGCAGAGGATCCCAAGAAGAAGAAGCAAAGGCAAAGTAGCCCGGAAAGAAAGGAGAGAAAGGCTGCAGAGGATACCAAGAAGAAGAAGTAAAGGCAAAGTAGCCCGGAGAGAAAGGCTGCAGAGGATCCCAAGAAGAAGAAGAAGAAGAAGCAAAGGCAAAGTAGCCCGGAGAGAAAGGCTGCAGAGGATCTCAAAAAGAAAAAGCAAAGGCAAAGTAGCCCGGAGAGAAAGGCTGCAGAGGATCCCAGTAAGAAGAAGAAGAAGAAGAAATAAAGGAAAAGTAGCCCGGGGAGAAAGGCTGCAGAGGATCCCAAGAAGAAGAAGCCAAGGCAAAAGAGCCCGGAGAGAAAGGCTGCAGAGGATCCCAAGAAAAAGAAGAAGCAAAGGCAAAGTAGCACGGAGAGAAAGGCTGCAGAGGATCCCAAGAAGAAGAAAAAGCAAAGGCAAAGTAGCCCGGAGAGAAAGGCTGCAGAGGATCCCAAGAAGAAGAAGAAGTAAAGGCAAAGTAGTCTGGAGAGAAAGGCTGCAGAGGATCCCAAGAAGAAGAAGAAGAAACAAAGGCAAAGTAGCCCGGAGAGAAAGGCTGCAGAGGATCCCAAGAAGAAGAAGCAAAGGCAAAGTAGCCCAGAGAGAAAGGCTGCAGAGGATCCCAAAAAGAAGAGTAGCCCGGAGAGAAAGGCTGCAGAGGATCCCAAGAGGAAGAAGAAGTAAAGGCAAAGTAGCCCGGAGAGAAAGGTTGCAGAGGATTCCAAGAAGAAGAAGACGAAGCAAAGGCAAAAGAGTCCGGAGAGAAAGGCTACAGAAGACCCCAAGAAGAAGAAGCAAAGAAAAAGTAGCCCGGAGAGAAAGGCTGCAGAGGATCCCAAGAAGAAGAAGCAAAGGCAAAGTAGCCCGGAGAGAAAGGCTGCAGAGGATCCCAAGAAGAAGAAGAAGCAAAGGCAAAGTAGCCCGGAGAGAAAGGCTGCAGAGGATCCCAAGAAGAAGAAGCAAAGGCAAAACAGCTCGGAGAGAAAGGTTGCAGAGGATCCCAAGAAGAAGATGCAGAGGCAAAATAGTCCGGAGAGAAAGGCTGCAGAGGATCCCAAGAAGAAGAAGAAGCAAAGACAAAGTAGCCCGGAGAGAAAGGCTGCAGAAGATCGCAAGAAGAAGAAGAAGCAAAGGCAAAGTAGCCCGGAGAGAAAGGCTGCAGAGGATCCCAAGAAAAAGAAGAAGCAAAGGCAAAGTAGCCCGGAGAGAAAGGCTGCAGAGGATCCCAAGAAGAAGAAAAAGCAAAGGCAAAGTAGCCCGGAGAGAAAGGCTGCAGAGGATCCCAAGAAGAAGAAGTAAAGGCAAAGTAGTCAGGAGAGAAAGGCTGCAGAGGATCCCAAGAAGAAGAAGAAGAAACAAAGGCAAAATAGTCCGGAGAGAAAGGCTGGAAGAAGAAGAAGCAAAGGCAAAGTAGCCCAGAGAGAAAGGCTGCAGAGGATCCCAAAAAGAAGAAGCAAAGGCAAAGTAGCCCGGAGAGAAAGGCTGCAGAGGATCCCAAGAAGAAGAAGAAGTAAAGGCAAAGTAGCCCGGAGAGAAAGGCTGTAGAGGATCCCAAGAAGAAGAAGTAAAGGCTATATAGCCCGGAGAGAAAGGTTGCAGAGGATCCCAAGATGAAGAAGAATCAAAGGAAACGTAGCCCGGAGAGAAAGGCTGCAGAGGATCCCAAGAAGAAGAAGAAGAAGCAAAGCCAAAAAAGTCCGGAGAGAAAGGCTGCAGAGGATCCCAAGAAGAAAAAGCAAAGGCAAAGTAGCCCTGCAGAGGATCCCAAGAAGAAGAAGCAAAAGCAAAGTAGCCCGGAGAGAAAGGCTATAGAGGATCCCAAGAAGAAGAAGCAAAGGCAAAGTAGCCCGGAGAGAATGGTTGCAGAGGATCCCAAAAAGAAGAACAAAAAAAAGAAGAAGAAGAAGAAGCAAAGGCAAAGTAGCCCGGAGAGAAAGGCTGCAGAGGATCCCAAGAAGAAGAAGCAAAGGCAAAGTAGCCCGGAGAGAAAGGCTATAGAGGATCCCAAGAAGAAGAAGAAGCAAAGGCAAAGTAGTCCGGAGAGAAAGGCTACAGAGGATCCCAAGAAGAAGAAGAAGAAGCAAAGGCAAAGAAGTCCGGAGAGAAAGACTGCAGAGGATCCCAAGAAGAAGAAGCAAAGGCAAAGTAGCCCGGAGAGAAAGGCTGCAGAGGATCCCAAGAAGAAGAAGAAAAGGCAAAGTAGCCCGGAGAGAAAGGCTGCAGAGGATCCCAAGAAGAACAAGCAAAGGCAAAATAGCCCGGAGAGAAAGGCTGCAGAAGATCCCAAGAAGAAGAAGCAAAGGCAAAGTAGCGAGGAGAGAAAGGCTGCAGAGGATCCCAAGAAGAAGAAGCAAAGGCAAAGTAGCCCGGAGAGAAAGACTACAGAGGATCCCAAGAAGAAGAAGAAGAAGCAAAGGCAAATTATTTGTAGCCCGGAGAGAAAGGTTGTAAAGGATCACAAGAAGAACAAGAAGCAAAGGCAAACTAGCCCGGAGAGAAAGGCTGCAGAGGATTCCAAGAAGAAGAAGAAGAAGCAAAGGCAAAGTAGCCCGGAGAGAAAGGAGAGAAAGGCTGCAGAGGAGCCCAAGAAGAAGAAGTAAAGGCAAAGTAGCCCGGAGAGAAAGACTGCAGAGGAACCCAAGAAGAAGAAGAATCAAAGGCAAAGTATTGGTAGCCCGGAGAGAAAGGCTGCATTGGATCCCAAGAAGAAGAAGAAGCAAAGGCAGAGTAGCCCGGAGAGAAAGGCTGCAGAGGATCCCAGTAAGAAGAACAAGAAGAATAAAGGCAAAGTAGCCCGGACAGAAAGGCTGCAGAGGCTCCTAAAAAGAAGAAGAAGAAGCAAAGGCAAAGTAGTGCGGAGAGAAAGGCTGCAGAGGATCCCAAGAAGAAGAAGAAGCAAAGGCAAAGTAGCCCGAGAGAAAGGCTGCAGAGGATCCCAAGAAGAAGAAGCAAAGGCAAAGTAGCCCTGCAGAGGATCCGAAGAAGAAGAAGAAGCAAACGCAAAACAGCCCGGAGAAAAAGGCTATAGAGGATCCCAAGAAGAAGAAGAAGCAAAGGCAACCTAGCCTGGAGAGAAAGGCTGCAGAGGATCCCAAGAAGAAGAAGAAGAGGCAAAAACAAAGGAGTCCGGAGAGAAAGACTGCAGAGGATCCCAAGAAGAAGAAGAAGCAAAGGCAAAGCAGCTCGGAGAGAAAGGTTGCAGAGGATTCCAAGAAGAAGAAGAAGACGAAGCAAAGGCAAAAGAGTCCGGAGAGAAAGGCTGCAGAGGACCCCAAGAAGAAGAAGCAAAGGAAAAGTAGCGCGGAGAGAAAGGCTGCAGAGGAGCCCAAGAAGAAGAAGAAGCAAAGGCAAAGGAGTCCGGAGAGAAAAGCTGCAGAGGATCCCAAGAAGAAGAAGAAGCAAAGGCATCCCAAGAAGAAGAAGCAAAGACAAAGTAGCCCGGAAAGAACGGCTGCAGAGGATTCCAAGAAGAAGAAGAAGCAAAGGCAAACTAGCCAGGAGAGAAAGGCTGCAGAGGATCCCAAGAAGAAGAAGAAGCAAAGGCAAAAAAGAAAGGTTGCAGAGGATCCCAAGAAGAAGAAGAAGCAAAGGCAAAGTAGCCCGGAGAGAAAGGCTGCAGAAGATCCCAAGAAGAAGAAGCAAAGGCAAAGTAGCGAGGAGAGAAAGGCTAAGAAGCAAAGGCAAAATAGCCCGGAGAGAAAGGCTGCAGAAGATCGCAAGAAGAAGAAGAAGCAAAGGCAAAGTAGCCCGGAGAGAAAGGCTGCAGAGGATCCCAAGAAAAAGAAGAAGCAAAGGCAAAGTAGCCCGGAGAGACGGTATAGAGGATTCCCAAGAAGAAGAAGCCGAAGAAGGAAAGGAAAGTAGCCCGGAGAGAAAGGCGGCCAGAGGATCCCAAGAAGAAGAAGAAGTCAAGGCAACAAAGTGTCTGGAGAGAAAGTTGCAGGAGATCCAGAAGCAGAAGACAGCAAAGGCAAAGTAGCCCGGGAGAGAAGAAGAGACAGGCTAGGAGGCTCCCAAGAACGAGAAGAGAGCCAAAGGCCAAAGTAGCCCGGGAGAGGAACGGGCTCTCTCTTGCGCGGAATCCCAAGAATAGGACGAAGAAGAAGCAGCAAAGGCAAAGTAGCACGGAGAGAAAGGCTGCAGAGGATCCCAAGAAGAAGAAGAAGCAAAGGCAAAGTAGTCCGGAGAGAAAGACTGCAGAGGATCCCAAGAAGACAAAGAAGAATTAAAGGCAAAAATAGCCCGGAGAGAAAGGCTGCAGAGGATCCCAAGAAGAAGAAGAAGCAAAGGCAAAGTAGTCCGGAGAGAAAGGTTGCAGAGGATTCCAAGAAGAGAAGAAGCAAAGGCAAAGTAGCCCAGAGAGAATGGCTGCAGAGGATCCCAAGACGAAGAAGAAGTAAAGGCAAACTAGCCCGGAGAGAAAGGCTGCAGAGGATCCTAAGAAGAAGAAGAAGCAAAGGCAAAGTAGCCCGGAGAGAAAGGCGGCAGAGGATCCCAAGAAGAAGAAGAAGCTATATAGCCCGGAGAGAAAGGTTGCAGAGGATCCCAAGAAGAAGAAGAAGTAAAGGCAAAGTGGCCCGGAGAGAAGGGCTGCAGAGGATCCCAAGAAGAAGCAGCAAAGGCAAAGTAGCCCGGAGAGAAAGACTGCAGAGGATCCCAAGAAGAAGAAGCAAAGGCAAAGAAGCCCGGAGAGAAAGGCTGCAGAGGATCCCAAGAAGAAGAAGAAAAAGAAGTAAAGGCAAAAAAAGCCCGGAGAGAAACGCTGTAGAGGATCCCAAGAAGAAGAAGAAGCAAAGGCAAAAGAGCTCGCAGAAAAAGGCTGCAGAGGATCCCAAGAAGAAGAAGAAGCAAAGCCAAAAAAGTCCGGAGAGAAAGGCTGCAGAGGATCCCAAGAAGAAAAAAGAAAAGGTAAAGTAGCCTGAAGAGGACCCAAGAAGACGACAGACGCAAGGCAAAAGTAGCCCGCGCAGGAAAGGGCTGCAGAGGATCACAAGAAGAAGAAGAAGCAAAGGCAGAGTAGAAAGGTTGCAGAGGATCCCAAGAAGAAGAAGCAAAGACAAAGTAGCCCGGAAAGAACGGCTGCAGAAGATTCCAAGAAGAAGAAGAAGAAGAAGCAAAGGCAAATTAGCCCGGAGAGAAAGGCTGCAGAGGATTCCAAGAAGAAGAAGAAGCCAAGGCAAAGTAGCCCGGAGAGAAAGGCTGCAGAGGATCCCAAGAAGAAGAAGAAGCAAAGGCAAAGCAGCCCGGAGAGAATGGCTATAGAGGGTCCCAAGAAGAAGAAGAAGGAGCAAAGGCAAAGTAGCCCGGAGAGAAAGGTTGCAGAATATCTCAAGAAGAAGAAGAAGCAAAGGCAAAGTAGCCCGAAGAGAAAGGCTGCAGAGGATCCCAAGGAGAAGAAGAAGCAAAGGCAAAAAAGTCCGGAGAGAAAGGCTGCAGAGGATCCCAAGAAGAAGAAGAAGAAGCAAAGGCAAAGTAGCCCGGAGAGAAAGGTTGCAGAGGATCCCAAGAAGAAGAAGAAGCAAAGGCAAACTAGTGGTAGCCCGGAGAGAAAGGCTGCATTGGATCCCAAGAAGAAGCAGCAAAGGCAAAAGAGGCCGGAGAGAAAGGCTGCAGAGGATGAAGCAAAGGCAAAATAGCCCGGAGAGAAAGGCTGCAGAGGATCCCAACAAGAAGAAGCAAAGGCAAAAGAGCCCGGAGAGAAAGGCTGCAGAGGATCCCAAGAAGAAGAAGAAGCAGCAAAGGCAAAGTAGCCCGGAGAGAAAGGCTGCAGAGGATCCCAAGAAGAAGAAGAAGCAAAGGCAAAGTAGTCCGGAGAGAAAGACTGCAGAGGATCCCAAGAAGACAAAGAAGAATTAAAGGCAAAAATAGCCCGGAGAGAAAGGCTGCAGAGGATCCCAAGAAGAAGAAGAAGCAAAGGCAATATAGTCCGGAGAGAAAGGTTGCAGAGGATTCCAAGAAGAGAAGAAGCAAAGGCAAAGTAGCCCGGAGAGTATGGCTATAGAGGATCCCAAGAAGAAGAAGCAAAGTTAAAGTAGGACCGGAGAGGAAAGGCTCTGTCCCGAGAGGAGCCAAAGAAGAAGAAGCAAAGGCAAAGTAGCCCGGAGGAAAAGGAGGCAGAGGATGCCCAGGAGAAGGGGGAGGGGGGGGGGGGAAGAAGCCCAAAGGCAAAGTGAAAGGTGCAGAGGATCCCAAGAAGAAGAAGAAGAAGCAAAGACAAAGTAGCCCGGAAAGAACGGCTGCAGAGGATTCCAAGAAGAAGAAGAAGCAAAGGCAAAGTAGCCCGAAGAGAAAGGCTGCAG